ACCGGCTTGTGTATGTCACCAAAGCTGAGTCTGAACCCAGAAGTCATGGGAAGCAAACCTTTTGACTCAGTCATCTCAATAAACGAATGGGGATGGGGAGGTAGGATTTTGTGGGGCCTGGAATGGCAATTTAGTTTGAAGTGGTCTTTTCCTCTGAACTCCACCTCTGTCCTTAAAAGATCCCACGTGACACACTCTCTGGTAGAAGAGTAGGAAGTGGGATATTTAGGTGCATGCAGTGGGCTTTGGTTGATGTTTCTCATTATGCTGTTTTTCAGCCCCCAAACTCCCCTTCTGGGCAGCCCACACGTTAAAATGCAAAAAACAACAACAAGAAATCAACTACAGAATAGAACAGTAAAATTCCAATTATGAAATAAAAGAATAAAATATTAAACAAAACGTGAGCACACTGTTCTGTTGATATCCTTTAAACAAGACCAGAAGTACAATAATGAGCAATAAATTCAGCTGGCACAACAATCCAGACAGGAAAGAGATTGCTATCCTTTGGAAGAGGTGAAGAGGTGCTCAGGACATCTTCTAAGCCTTAGAATCTAAGGGAAGGAGTTCCCTTAGGAGAAAGCTTCCTTTCTTTGTACCAGTCACCCTGGCCTTACAACTGGCCTTACAAGTGGCAGGATAGGAAACTCTGACATCCCCTATAGATCTTAAAGGATGGTAGTGTTATATGGAAGCCAGTCATCCTTTAGGTGCTTCAGACCCAAGCCACTTACAGCTATGGAGGTCAAAATTACGGCTTTGCACTGGGCTTGGGAACTGAGAGAGATTCAACGCCATACCAAGCATATGCATGTAATATGTAATATGTAATGGCTACCCCCCCCCAGTACTTCCTGAACAGCAGAATTTGGCATTAGTTGGTATAGTAGTTGACAAACATAGTTTAGAGGCAGCCCCATATTGAGTTTGTTGCAGTTGCCTAACCTGGATGTGCCACAATATATGGATTAGACATGGGTTATTCATATTCAGATCCCTAGGGATACAAATACTGTACAAATTGCTGCACCACAGTTGCCACAGAGGCCCATTCCCTCCACCCAGAACCAGCTGGTCCACTCACTATTTGCTACGTGACATTTGTCTCCCTCATCATAATCGCACCAATCATGGAAGGAGACTGCTTGCCTCTTTCCCACCTCCCCGTGCATGACCCCTCATCGGTTGAGTGGGGAAACTCCCCATCCCACCTTCACACCAAAGTGGCCAGCTGCATGGGGAGAAAGAGAAGAGCCAGCCGGGCTCCTTCTGTGATTGGTGCTATTATGACAATGGGACTGAGTGCAACGCAACAAACAGTGAGTGGACATCCAGTTCTCAGGGGAGGGAATAGGCCTCCATGGCACCTTTGTTGCCACGATTTGTATTCATATCCCCGTGGATATGAATCTGAATAGCCCATGTTTAGTAGGATGTTAGAATCAGTGTAGTATAAGGAATGGAATGTCAGCCTAGAAGATCCAGGTTCAAGGCTATACTCAGCCATAAACCTCACTGGATGACCTTGGGCCATTCATACAATGGATCTACAAGTTCTTCCTCTACACGTGAGCATTCTTGCTATTTCACATGATGTAATTCCCCCATCATTGATTACAATGTGCACTGTTTTGCTATTTGCTTCCGTTGCATATTGCTTGTTTTTTCTCAGTTCCCCAAATTTTTTTGTTTTTGTTTTTGAGAGGGGGTTTGGTGTGCATTTGCACATCTTTCCAGGGCCACAAGGATTGGAGAAATAGTGAGGGGTAGAAGTGTGTAGATATGTATTTTTGAACTACAGTACCTGGATCCCTCAGCACAGCTGCCTGTAAAAATTCTGGGAGTTGTAGTCCAAGAACACACATCTACACACCTCTATGGAAAGGCATATTGAAAAGGAACTTGTTCATCTCCATCTCTCTTGATGCACAACAAATGGAAGAACAAATATGCACACTAAGCCCCTCAAAAACAACAAAGCAAGAAAAGTGGTTGTGATATGGTGTCCCTTCGACCAAAGGCAAGTGGCCAGATAATAATTTGGAGATGCACATACACACGTTCTCATAGTGCCAAATTGGGGGACGACTCCTCCCCAGTTGATTTAATGTCTCAGTGTTAAACAGTAATGCATGATAAGCAATGACGTCAATGTCACCGGCACAATGCACATTCCCTAGCACAACTGCAGATGGTGCATTTTTGCTTATGTGCATTAAATATACAGAAACTGCATGGCTTCCATCTTCTTTCATTTTTTTATACAAACCTGCTAAAGTATTCTTGCCCACAGTTGCCCCCTGAATGTCTGGAAGAACCCCAAACTCTGTAACAGATCCATCTAGAACATGACAAATAAAGAGCTGTAGTCCAGCTGGAACAGCACCTCTGTTTAGAAGGGTTGTCTTCCCTGCAACCAAGCTTTCTTTCAGTGTTTCTTTAGTTTACCTGACAAAGAACTCTGCATAGCTTAGATGCTTGTGTTCTTTTATACCACACATTTGGGGCAAGCACAGATTTCAGTGGATTTAATCTCATCAGGCAGTCTTGTTTCACTGGGATGGAACACACTCTGCATCTGACATGGCAAACTGTTCCTTCAGAATTTTGCATCTGTATCCCATTTGCTCTGTTTCTTAAAGATCTTGCTTGATTCTTTGACAGGGTAGAGAAGAATAGTGCTCAGCATTCTGGACTCTTATCCAAATCCTGTTTTAGCCAACCTCATCCAGATTTTTCCCCCAGTATAAATCATCTATGGAAAATGTCATATTTGAATGCCTTTTGGGCTGGCTGAATAGCTCAGTAGTTTAGGTATCTGTTTGTGGAACCAGAGGTTGGGAATTTGATTCCCCAGTCCACATCCTAAAGAGCCAGCCTGTGTGAGCTTGGGCAAGCTGCAAACAGCCCAGAAGAAAGGAATAGTAGGAAACCACTTCTGAATACTCTCTACCGAGAAAACCCTTAAAAGGCTTTCCATAAGTCAGAATTGACTTGACGGCACATTGTTATTTAACCCTATCATACTTCTATCCCGTTTCCAGCTAGTATTAAACATTTGTCACAGTTTTACTGTCTTCCAGTTCTCTCCCTCTGAGTACATGACATACTTTATGAATTGGATTTCAAAGAAGTAGCCATGTTCCCAGGTAGCCGGCTCAAGGTTGACTCAGCCTTCCATCCTTCCGAGGTCGGTAAAATGAGTACCCAGCTTGCTGGGGGGGGCAATGTGTAGCCTGTATAATTAAAATTGTAAACCGCCCGGAGAGTGCTTGTAGCGCTATGGGGCGGTATATAAGTCCCCTCCCCCCAAAAAAAGTTAGTCTATTACATAGAGTATGTATGTGCTATACATACTTAATGGTTGATCCTCTGATTGTATTAGATCATACATGAAAGAGTGCACCTGAGTACTTGGTGATAATTAACCTGGAGTAACCACAGAGTAAGTGTAGTGTAGGAATCAAGCTCAGAGCCACTTCTCCATGGTGATGATGGAGGTGGTGATGCTGTGTGTGTGTGTGTGTGTGTGTGTGCGTGCGTGCGTGCGTGCGTGCGTGCGTGTGTGTGTGTGTGTCTGTGTGTGTGTGTGTTTGTATTTGAAAGTATAATTTGTCTTCCACCCCTCGTGGTTTATCATCTGCCATTCAGAAGTAACCCTTTCCCCCCCACAGAACCAAGAATCTAGTAGTGTCAGCTGCCGCTGCGCTGCGTTTTCCTCTTCCTTGCTTTCCCCTCCACTTCAGTTTTGCTGCAGCGCCAGCATGTAACGCTCTTGGGATTGGTCGTGTCTGGCTCAATCCCACATTTTATTTCTCTGGCCTGAAAATGTCAAATCGCATCTCGCAGCAGTGCCATCCCACCCTTGCGGAGAGCTTGCTGGAGGCGGCTTCCAAAGCTTTCAGGCCTTAAGGCTCATAGATTTAGGTTTATTTTTCATCACTGCTACTCTAACCCCCTTTTTTAAAAAAAACATTTCCCATTGAAACCCCCCTTCTCTCCCCCTACCCAGGTTCTCTGACTTACGTAAAGGCACTCTGCTTGCAAAAATCTGCCTGGCCAAATCTAAGTTTCTGAAAAGCACCCCTCTAGGACAGAGTGCTCTGTGTGTGTGTGTGTGTCTGTGTCTCTGTGTCTGTGTGCGTGCATGTGTGCATGCATGTAGGTGGCTTGCTTTCAAATAATGCCATTAAAACCACGGAGTGGTAGTACTCCCAAGAGGCAAATCTGGCATTTCCTTTGGGATTTGCCTTTGATCAGCAGCCTTTCCAAGCTCTGCAGGAAACTCTCCTGCCCCTCCCCTTTCCCCCCATTTCCAAGTTCAGCCGGAAGCCTCAGATTCAGTGCATAAAATAGCCTTGAATTATAGACTACAAATGTTGTGTGATTTTTAACATTGTTGTGGCATGCTTTTTGAGGATCTGGAGGGTTGTGTTCTTTTTGTATTAACCTGTGGTGAGAGAGAGGTAAGATAGGAGTTTGTGATTTTGGGATATAAATGAATCAGAAGTGTATATATTGGCCTCCCGCCCCCCCCACCCCCATATGTTCACTTTACAACAACAAAATAAAAGAAAAATCCCAATAGGAATCAATAAAGTTTGTTATCAAGAACATATAAGCAAATAAAAATGTATGCGAAACGGCCACCTCAAGTCTTAAGCTCATGGAGAAAGCATTCATCTCCTTCATCTAATTTTTCACATGGTCTCAAATACATGCAGTTTTTGACTCCATTCCCATGTGCCATTGCCCGGGATATGTATAGTAATTCAGCACTGTTCACTTGAAGCAGGTGATGTATGTCCTGTTAAGCAATAAACACGCAGGTTTATGCCAAGGGCAGAAGTAGCATTATTAAAATGACTCAGTTGAGTAACATCTTTGCACCGGTTCCAGGCAGATTTAAAGCCTTGTCTATCCCTTCCATGTACATTTTTGGCCCTGAGATGTCACCTGTGACTTACTGTCTTTCTTTCTCTCTGTTTTTTCTGCAGCCATTGAAACACAGAGTACCAGCTCAGAAGAGATTGTGCCGAGCCCTCCTTCGCCACCCCCACTTCCGAGAATCTACAAACCCTGCTTTGTGTGTCAGGATAAGTCGTCTGGCTACCACTATGGTGTCAGCGCCTGTGAAGGATGCAAAGTGAGAATGGAAAATGGGGCCAAGGGTTGAGGGAGACCCGTAATGTAAGGAAGATGATGGGAAGCAAATGGACTTGTTGAATGCGCAGGGTGTCTCACTTGCAGGACCAGCCTTGGTTAGTCAGAGCTTTTCCAGCCCAGGCAAAGCAGATGGTGGATTCTGCACTGTTGGTTTCCCTCCATTCATATGATGCAAGTCTTCGTCCACTGGCAGAAACTCTGTTGCTTAGCCTAGCAAGTTGCAAGTAGAATATTCCTATGAAATCAGTGGGGATTTGGTGATTTCCATTGATTTAATGGGCCTTTTCTACTAGCAACTTAAGCTACAGCATTTCAGCCGATATGTTCAATACTTTTTCCTGGTGAATCAGTCAGTCATTTATTGTCTATGGCAGAAACATGATTCTGGGATTTGTTCCAGGGCATGAAGTTTGATGCATGGCTCTTTCAATGGGAAGTTTATTTCCACATCACAGGATACCAATCAGAAGACTTTCGTTCGCAAAGACTTTTTAAAATGGGGGAAAAGATCTGCTCTAGAAGCAAAACTTCAGCAAGGAATGGTTTCCAAATATTTTCTCTGAGGATTTCAAGAGGAGAAACAGTTTTACTTTTTACAGTACAGTTTGGCTTCAGATCCTAGTCAGCTCTGCTCTCCTTCATAATGAGCTGTGACCAGGAATGTCAGAACCTTTGCTCCATCTGGATAAGACCTTAGAGAGATCCATGGCAGTTACACTGACACTGATACAATGAACAGTAATCATCCAGGGTGGGGTGAGGGTTGGACTTGCCTTAGGTTTTGTCCATCTCCCATTGGCATAAAGGTGTGGAAAGAGAAGCCGCTGTTCACATGAGAGCAATGCATTTGGGAGAAAGGCCAAGCATTTTCTTGTTCCGCTCCACCAAGAGGCCATGTATTGCTTTTCCCTGCTTTGCACATACCTGGTTCTTGTTGTGCTTTCAAGATGTGGACAACTAGTCAGGACACAGGAACATGTGTTAGCATCAGAGCAGTAATGGCCTCTCTGGCTGGGGTGTGTGTGTGTGTGTGAGTGGGATTCTGGGAGCTATAGTCCCCAAACGCCCAAATGTTAGCTAGTATATATAAGAGGAGCATGTTCTCTTGGCATGCATATTTTGGTTACATATTTCCTCTCCTGTGATGATATGCCCTTCTTTCTTGCTGTCTCTCAATCCAGTTATTCCTCTCTCTTGCATCTAAGCAGGATGAGCTCCTTTTGCTCTGTCGGTTCCTGCACATGCCCCACTTGCACCAAGCTGGCAGCATGACCTTGTGGGTCGGATTGGCAGAGATCAGCTTGGGCAAAGCAGGCTTGGTCCCCATCAGCAAATCCCTTCTCTCTGGCTCATTAACACGAAGCTCTTTGTGCCTCTGGTTGCCTAGAAAAAAGGTCTTTCTCCATCGCCGCCAGGAGTCCCTTAATCTCATTAGCGGGGACATGGTGGCGTTGTCCTCATTACCCTATGCTGAGCAGCCTGGCCTGTTCTGTGGCTCTCCTGAACTAATGATCAGTCAACGCTGTTACCTCTACCTGGCAAAAATACCTCTTGGAACGACGACGCCTAAAATCCTACAGCTGGCACCAGACAGCAGCCATACTGTTTGGGATGCTGAAAGTTGTAGTCTAAAAAAAGTTACTTTTCCATGTTGTCATTCTTAAACAGGAAAAGGTAACTCTGAGCAGCAGCTCTGTATGTATTGTGCATATCTTTTGAGTGTGCTTCAGGTGGAATGCAGCAGTCTAGGAATCTGACCTTTACTACTTTTTAAAGAAAGGTTTCTGGGCATCATTTATTGAATAAGAAAAGCTTGCTTTTCTTTTGATTTCTTTTCTCATTCCATTTCCTGGCTGCAAGTCTTAATTTCTTTGAAAATTATAGACTCGGTGCAGTAAGAAGTTTATTTCTTCATTACATTTTACTCAGATTACAATTATATGGAGACCTATAATTCTGACCAAAGAGATACAGTACCTGAAAAAGTATCCTGGTTTTCTTTGAGAGTGGTGAAGGAATACGAGTCACTCTGCTTTCTGAGATTCATCTTTGTGAGTGTAGCTGCATATCAACATCTGAGTTCCACATAAAATGTTGGTGGATAGGTCTTAGTTAATTCTACCCATCAGAAACAAAGAGACCATAGACAGGAATCTCTACATCATCTCCACATGCCCATGCTTCAGTTGATATTCTTCCAGTAGTTCCAATTCTGGGTAGATCTGTAATGATCCAGAACTTGAACTGCCATTACTGCTATTCAAAGAATTCTGGGAAATGATAGTTCTGGAATATACAAATAGGAAGACCAGGCATCCTTACGAATTTATTCTTGATGATTGTTAATGTCACTTGAAATATGAAGGTAACAGAAGTGACCTGTCTTGTTACGAGGGCTTACTGAGAAAATGCATACAGCTTTGGTCTGTGTGCCCTGAAAAAACTGTGGGCTAAGAGTCATGGCCTGAAAGGTGCGCAATAGAGCCCTCTTGCTGAAGCTAAGCAGGTCTCGGTATGCTCGGTGTCTAGATAGGAAATGTTCTGGACAGCCTCACGCCGTCGTTTTGAGTTCCATGATACAGTAGAAAAAAGTCAGGACAGAAATAAATAAATGCATATAAATATTTTATAAACTTCATATCAATGCTATCCTTAATTCTCATGGAGTTATTGTACTTTACCAAATTAAAAAAAAACTGGTTGAACTTTGATATTTGAGTAGAGTGTTAGGCAAATCTAAGCAAAAATCCTGGAAACAGGGATATAACTATAGTGGGGGAAGCTGAGCTTCCTACAGGCTTGAAATGGAAGAAGCCAAACTAACCTTTGCCCACCAACCCCCCCCCCAAAAAAATGCCCAAAGCAGCTCATACTATTTTTATATAGGCAAATCCAAAGAGTGGCTCTTAAGTTGTTGTTGGACTGCAAAACTGATCAGCCCAAGTCAGCATAACTGTTCATGAGGGAAGGTGAGAGTTGGCCATCTCCAATCTCTGAGGGGCCGCAGACTCTTGCCTAGAGCTGTGTGCAGGTTTCAGTCTGATTTCCTAATGCACACAGTGTAATTTCAGAAACTCTCTGACGGCAAGACCAATCTGTCATTTCAGCAACTCCCTGCATATAGAGGGAGATGTGGTGGATTGGGGAAAGGGGAGAGGATTTGCTTCTAGCTTTGCCCATCACTGGTACACAACCTCCAACCAATTATACCCAAGAGAAGCATGGGCGTTGATACTGAATGGTTACCTACTTGATTTGCATAGTGTCCTTGCACATACTAACATACTTCTTGTACATGATCTTGATAATCCTTACAAAACCTAATGAGATATGCCTGCATTACTATCCCTATACAGTATATTACTGAGAAAGCAGTACTACCAGACACTGAGTTGATAGCTGAAGCAAAAGCTGAACAGAAAAGCTCATACATTTTGCCACCACACAGAATATTTGATCTCAGAGAGCCAGTGCCCTGCCCCTGTTCCAGTTGGATGTGAGGAAGTAAACCAACTCACATGTTGCTGTGAAAGAGAGGGGAAAAAAGAGATTGTTTTGCTCATGCCCCTTTTTCTTCTGTTTACCTTTCAGGGTTTTTTCCGCCGCAGCATCCAGAAGAACATGGTATACACCTGCCACCGTGACAAGAACTGCATCATCAACAAGGTCACACGAAACCGGTGTCAATACTGCCGCCTGCAGAAGTGCTTTGAAGTGGGCATGTCCAAGGAATGTGAGTAAAGGGCAAGGAGGAAAAGAAGGATGGGGACGGAATGTTTCTTGTTGTCACCGTCCTTTTGCAGTAGAAAAATCTGAGTTTCAGCCCATATTCAAAACTCAGAAGTTTAATTTAGTGACTTTCTGATGTGCTGCTTAGAGCATCCATTAGTTCCAGCCATCACTACATGATTGGAACTGGACTACAGTAGGTTAGTGTGATGTGATCTGGTCCTCTCTGTGTGATCTGCGCCTCTCTGTCGTATCATTATTATTATTTATTTTATTTATATCCCGCCTATCTAGTCAATAGACCACTCTAGGCGGCTCACAACAGGGGTACAACAATAACTAAAAATGAATTTACAAAGAAGAAAACTTTCAACCATGAAATTATAAACTAAGAAAAAGAAAAAAGGAAAATCAGGATTAGCTAAGGGTGGGGTGGGGGGAAGGCCTGCCGAAACATCATTGTCTTTAATTGCTTTTTAAGCAATTTGATTTCCTAAAAATCAGAACATTGTGGAACAAGCTTGCTTTGCTGTAACAAAGGCAATAGGAAAGAATGTGATTCTGTTACCATTGCTCATAAATGGTAATGGAAATGTAATGCATACGGACTGGAATACCACAATGATACCTGCCATGAGAAAGGAAGCAGATAAACATAGGGGGCAAGCTGTCATGACCAGCTTCTACATCTCCAGGTATATCACCACATCACCACTGTTTATAACTACTTTCTTTTTATACCCATTGTAATGATAGCTCATTTCAGTGACAGATAATAATAATAACTCTACAAAAAGACCAGCAAAAATGTCTGATGCTATCATTTATGTCAATATTTAGATACTTGGTTTAACAGATATTTAGAGAAGGGTTCCCCCCTCTTTTCTCCAGTTGATTAGTTGAGGGGTGTTGCTGCAGCTGGAGATGGCAACCTATTCCAAGCAGGCAAGATCCCCCCACACTACACACAAAAAATGATAATCTGCAGATTGGTACAGAGGGATTTCTCTTAGTTTTCTACCCAAATAGGTGGTTTGTGGGGTTTGCCCCTCTGCTTTGTTCTAATTTTGAGGGTGTTTCCCTGGCAACCAGTGATTGATGATGTCAGAGATAAATGACGCAGACAGGGCCCTCCTGGCGTCTGCGGTGCTTAGTTGTCATGGCTCCCGACTGTAACGGAGTGGGGGGGGAGGGATTCCCACTTTGCTATGACAACTCCAAGGGTTAGATTAATAATCCCTTGGGGTGAGGAAGCAGCAGATTGATCCAGGAGAAAGGAGAGGTTGGAGGTGGTTGGGGAATCATTGGTTAATCTAGGACATCTGTGATCCTGTTTGTCTTTCTTCTCCTTTCCTCCAGAGGTGTGAAGAAATGGGGTGTCCAAGGAGAGGCGGAGGCAGGATGGGGAACATCCGTAATGCTGGCCTTGTCCTGGCCTAGGGACTGCATGCAGCATTTGTGCTGAGTAGAATATAGAGCATATAGCAGGGTGTCCTCTTAAGATCAGGAGTCCAGTTCTAGAGATGTCATGAGGCGGGAAGTGAACATTGCCACCCACATATAAACAACCTGGAGATGATTCTCACTGTATCGAGGTGCAGTGCTAAAGCACTTCAGAAACCAAGCTTGAGTTATTTGTTAGAAACTGGAGAATCCACGTCATGTAACTATCCATAAACCGCCTTGGGTTATGGAGGTGGGGAGATAAGATTCAAGTGTAGGCCAAGCTCGAAGGTGGGAGGGAGATGAAGATTGAGACCCTTGTTCTTGTGCCTTTCCTTTAAGATAGATTTGGACCTCCCCCGAACACACAAAACACTTTTGAATTCTTCTCTCATCCATTTCTGTTGGTGTCTTTGGCTTCTCGTTATGCCAGCTGCTTTTTCTCTCTCCCCACCCTACTTCTTCTATGCGATGATGGATGCAGTATTCCCCCCTCCCTAACTGCCTGTCTGGACTGCGCTTTATTGAATTTGCCAAGCAGACATGACTGATTTCCGAATTATCCCCCTCCCCCCCCACCCCACCTCCTCCCTCAGGCAGGGCGGTGAAATGTACCAGCCCACCATGAGTGAACAGCGCATCTGGCATTGCCACTGCCTCATGACTAGCATTTATTTGTTTATTTACTTTTAAAGGGAAGGTTATCTTAAAGAGAGTCACCCACCTCAAAGATTCCAGGAACCTTACAGTCCCAAAAGGATAACCTTCTTACTGTTTCCTCTATTTTTTTCTTCACAGCTACAACATAAACATACGTGGCCTTTGTGCTGCCTCAATAAATTCTGTATGCTGCAGCATGATGCCACAAATTCACGTGCTCATGTCTTCCTGTGATCTTACGAATGTAATTCGCCTCAGTTTTGTTGTCTCTGGGTTAATTAAGTATGTCCCAGTTAGTTAAGGGGCTATCTTGAATACTTTGGTCCCTAGAAAGTCATTCCATTTTAGTCCATAAGAGTAGCATTTCTAACAATTGCAGCAGCCCTGTTCTTTTTCTGCATCTCTTGAGATGAATAATGTAGAATAATGTTTTGCTCTTTCCTGTGCTGGTCCCAGTTGTAGATACGGAGGGTCACAAACAGGAGTGGATGAGGCCATCAAACTTCATTTCACTCATGGTCTTATTTTTTTCTTTTTGAAGTCTGTCTGTTTTGCTTTTGCAACAGAATTTGATTCCCCCCCCCCGTTATGAAAATTTGGAAAGACATTTGTCATGTGCCTTTTTCCAAAAATAAAAATAAAAACCAAAAACACTCCATGATATGGATTGTTAATGTTTATTCTTATACACATTTTTGAAAACGCTTTTTGTGTGTTATTTTCAACTGAATAAAGCTATTTGTTGCACACTTATTCAAGTATACACATTTGTAATGCATACATTTTCAGACATGCACAATTTTGTGTAGTGTTTGTGAACTTCATTACAAACATTGAAGGTAGACGGTGGGTCACAAGCTTTGTTCTGTTCCGCCTTTTTATTTGGGAAGTGTGAATTTGATAAATTTGCACTGCGTTTGTTGTTGTTTAGTCATTAAGTTGTGTCCAACTCTTCATGACCCCAGAGCATGCCAGGCCCTCCTGTCTTGCACTGCCTCCCGGAGTTTGGTCAGATTCATGTTCGTAGCTTCGATGACGCTTTCTGCCATCTCGTCCGTCCCCTTCTCCTCTTGCCTTCACATTTTCCCAGCATCAGTGTATTGCACTGCATTACCAAGGTCATAGATCAAACTCACAAAGCTTTCCCTTGGAATGGGCACTGAACAAATTTCCCACCTGGCCATCAGTACGGAGTGTTTCAAATATCTCTTTATTGTATCACCTATGCTTATTCTGTAAACTCCTTCTATATAAGGTAACTTTTCCTGTCTGTGCTAGCCCCTTTGGTTAAGCTAAAAAAGAAAAAAAAATTATGTGCTAAATATCTTACTATACAGAAATGTATGCTCAGTCACTTAGTAGTAATTATTGCCTTGTTAAATAAAGGTGAATCATGAATAATGGTAGCACTTAGAATAAGGAGCAAGGATGTGTTGGGTTCCATTCAGAGTCCTTGATTTTTCCCTACCTTCAGGAGCACCACTCACTCTGTGCCCTTTTCTTTCTCCCTCTTTCAGCTGTCCGGAATGACAGGAACAAGAAGAAGAAAGATGCTCCCAAGCAGGAGTGTTCAGAGAGCTACATCATCACACCTGAGGTGGAAGATCTCATTGAGAAAGTACGCAAGGCCCACCAGGACACCTTTCCTGCTCTCTGCCAGTTGGGCAAGTACACCACAGTGAGTAGCCGTTACATACCAGCCCTGCATCAAGTCAGATAATTGATCCAGGTAGCCCACCATAGTTGACTCTACTAGCAGCTCTTCAGGCTTTCCATCTGGATCCATTATTGACATTACCAGGAGAACCGTTGTATTCTCTGGTGGTCTCCCATCCAAATACTAACCATGCCCAACACTGCTAAGCTTTTAAAACCAGCTGAGAATGGCTGCAGAGAGGCTGACGTATCAAAGCTGATGTGATTATCAGTAGGAGGTGTTAGTCAATCTGGCTGAAAATTGTCCAACACTGCTAAGCTTTTAAAATCAGCTGGGAATGGCTGCAGAGAGGCTGATGTATCAAAGCTGATGTGATTATCAGTGGGAGGTGTTAGTCAATCTGGCTGAAAATTGTGGTTGTGGCTATTGCTGCTCAGTGTTAATAAACACATTCTGTTATAGAAAGGAAGCCAGATTGTTCTACCTGAATAAATTGTTCTAAATTTATGATCATATTTGCTCGTTCTTGTTCAGTTTGTTTGTTCTTTTGAAACTGCCAAATTGGTTCAAGAACTTAGGATATATAATATTCAAAAAGCAAAATGCTATACAATTCCCAAGTTCACACAACACCTTATGTAATAAAAAAATTAAAAGGACCAGCTTAGTGGCCACAATAAGACACATATTGTCTGAATCGTTTTACATAAAACAATGACTTACTGTTAGACACTCAGTGGCAAATGAACATTGATGTACCGATCACATGTGTTCTAACGTATTCAGTCTTCCTTTATGATCTAATAAAATCTTAATTATCCCAGTTGCTGGGCTATCATGTAACGTTTTGGAACACTGTATTCTAATGAATTTATAATTAGTGCCTAAAATACAAATAGATAAGAACTCCTTGTATTACGAGAAACAGTAAGCGTTGCCGGATTTATTTTTTACCAAGATATCACTTTCTGTTATTTCTGTAAGTAAAATGGCACACCAAATTGCTGCACACAATATTTGTTAAGCAACAATGGCCAGTAATTTAATAAAGCTCAACAACAAATTGTGGCTAATAAACATATTGCTGTTTGCATTCTTACTCATGTGCCAGTGATAGCACTCAGTCAGGAATGTGAATGGCCACTTGTTAATTAGCAGCAACTCACTGCTGCAGATTACGGATTAACACTTAACATTGCCATAAATCTACACATTGTGTTACATTTGGTGAACTGATGGTTTAAAAAACAAATTAGAAAATATTATGTGTGTTGCATAAAGCAGTGCTCCCCAGCCTTTTTAACCCTACGAACTGGTTGGGGAAGGCACGGCAGCCCCTACACTCATGCGCATGTGCGAAGGAGGCGCTCACTCACGCGCATGTATGAAGGAGGGAGAGGGAGGGCACTCGTGCACTCATGACATGCGCAGAGGGTGGGGTGGTACTCAAGGGCACTTGTGCGCATGCACGAAGGGGTGGAGGGGCGCTCATGTGGGTGCATGCACAGGCATGTGCAAAGGGGCTATGCCGGGGGGATGTGGGGGGGAGGTCTGTCTCCGCGGCCTGGTCCAGCTCAGGCCACAAACAAGCACCAGACCGTGGACTGGGGGTTGGAGACCTCAGGCAAAAGGACAGCCCTGCCATTCAAGCCATTTGCCAAATACAGTACACCAATACTAATATATCAGTAATATTTGCAAAATAAAGAAAAACTATTTACTGTTAATGGTTAAAAGCTATAAAAATATAAAATCTGTAAAAAGAAGAAACACTTTCAAATCAAACTCACTGCTTTAAAAACTTGTGTTTTCCTTACAAGGTCATAAATACTCAACATTTGGAAACCCATTTGAATCTGTATTCCTAAGCCACTCAGAGTGGTCGCGTAGACCAGATGGGCGGGATACAAACAAACAAACAAACAAACAAACAAACAAACAAACAAACAAACAAACAATAAATAAATAAATAAATAAATAGTTAGATGCAGAAAATAAGAAAGCCCACAGTGAGTCTCAGGAAGTGGGGGAAGCTGTAATATTCCCAAATTTACCAAATTGCAAATGGACATGACTGTAGTTACTGGCTCAATAAAAAATTGGCAGACAACATCGTTGATGAGGACCTACTGGTGACAGCAGTGTTGCTTTAACTAATAATCAGAAAGTACACTTCTGGTCAGATTACGTGGCCATCTAGGCCAGTATTGTCTCTAGCCTTCCAGGATGTCTGGAAGAAAATGTTTCCCATCACCTGGTATATAATCTTTTCAACTAGAGAAGCCAATGATTGTAATTGGAACCAATATATAAAAGAACCGTTTTAGCCCTTCCTCCTTCTGCTGCTCAGTGGGCCAGGCAGATCCATTCCATCTATTCTCACAGTTCTACCATTCACTTTCTAGCCATAAAGATAAGAAATATCAGTGTGTGTGCTTTTAGATTTTTTTTAAAAAGCAGTGTATAATGATATCCCATCTTTAACTGCAATGTCCTCATAAGACAGCTTCCAGACATTTTTGGGTAAGATCTGACTTTCTCAGGAAAAACTCCAAGTTCTGTTTTTCATCCTTGACCTACCCATTCTCTCATTACAGAAGATTTTTTTTTCTGTCCTTGTTTCTATTTAATTTCTTAATGTTGTGAGTAGATAAAATTAGTTACAGAACAGGCCTACAGATAAATTACTGCAGCAACAGAGCCCAGTCATGCATTCCCAAAACACATATTCCCAAAGTGATCGGACATTGTGGCTTGGGAACAACGTCTTGAGCAAAGCTTGTTACAGATAACTTTTTTGGACTCCACCTCTCAAATTCTAGGGAATTGTTCAGCTCCAGTGTCTGTAGTGGTCAGAGACTTCTGGGAGCATTCTGAATGAAAAACAAGATTTTCCCCCAACTCAGCCTTCCAAGAATGGAAATTGTGGTGGGAGGTTCAGTTCCACTTCTTTTTATTTGCATTGTAGAAGATACAATCACCACCACCTTAGAACTGCAGAGCTGGAAGGCATCCTATGGATTATCAAATCTGGCCCCTGACAAGGTGGCACAGTTGGGAATTGAACTTCCAACCTCTGGCTTTGCAGCTGGAGACCTAAACCACTGAGCTATCCAGCATCTTCTTACCCTGATTTCCGATGCCTCTTCCCAACCTCATCCCCACCCCCCACCATGCTCCTCTCTACAGAATAACAGTTCGGATCAACGGGTCTCTCTTGACATCGACCTATGGGACAAGTTCAGTGAACTGTCCACCAAGTGTATCATCAAGACGGTTGAATTTGCCAAGCAGTTGCCAGGTTTCACTTCGCTTACAATCGCTGACCAGATCACGCTCCTCAAAGCTGCCTGCCTAGACATTTTGGTGAGTGAAGGTTCCTTCGTGCATGCAGACAATAGCCAAGTCGGGAAGTCTTTGGAACTACAGAATTTTGGGCAGGGCAAAACATCTGGGGTTGGGCTCTCTAAGGCTCTTTGTGACTTACAGCTGCACCCCATAGTAACCCCATACCATCTAATTCATAGCAGATGTGGGTAAATATGGAAGAGATGGAGTCAAGATGCATGCTTTTTTCCAGATCCTGCGGATATGTACGCGCTATACTCCAGAACAGGATACTATGACTTTCTCAGATGGCCTGACACTCAACCGCACGCAGATGCACAACGCAGGCTTTGGACCTCTCACAGACCTAGTTTTTGCCTTTGCCAACCAGTTGCTGCCGCTTGAGATGGATGATGCAGAAACAGGACTTCTCAGCGCCATATGTCTCATATGTGGGGGTGAGTGCCATACCCAGGAGAGAATCGAGTCCCAGACACAGATCCTCCATTCCCTGAGTGTAAATGCAAGTTTCTCCCATCTCAGTTTTCCAAGAAAGGAGATTGTTGTAAGAGACTGATGAATGCCCTTTTAAATCTATGTCTTAAGAAACCTTTTCTCACCTTGATTTCTGGTGTCTTCTGTTTCCATTTTCTGGGTTTGGCCATTTAATGTACACAGTCATAGCAGGGCAATGTGGAATAGTGGCTGTGCGAGTGAATGAGAGAGAGAGAGAGAGAAACTTCTGCCCTTGTCCCTCAAGGGGCTATTCATTCTCCTTGCCAGAATTTCACCTAGGTGGTCCAACATTGGTTGGCTGATTGGTGGTGGGTCTTTTCATTGTGTAGGGATCCCCCAGAAAGAACATATACATTTGTGGAAGTGCTTCCTTAAGTAACAAGTGACACTATGAGGGCCAGTTTATATATTTTAAGACAGCCAAATGCTGTGTCAGTGAGATGTGGGGTGGTCTCTTAAATTCTCTTCCTGAGATCGCATTTCTTCCTGGGGCAGAGATGTGTATGTTTTTGTAGGGGAGCTTTTAAACATAGCGCCTGTTTCTTACCTGCAGCCTCAAGTACTCTTCACCAGGAATAGCTTTGCCACTTGAAGCTACTTAAGACTCTACTCCTGAGACTCCACTCTGCGGTCTTTGAGGCTCCCAAGGCAGAGTCTTAATCACATGCAGGGGATTGTGGTTAACTTTACCAATTGCACAGATTATACTTAAGCCATATAAAACAGCAAAATAGGGAGGAAAGTGTATTCAGGGCTTCACCACCTCTTCCCACAATGCCCCCCCTGCCCCAAAAAAAACCCTTGAGACTCCACAAGGGAACCTTTTTTATTCTGGTTTCTTCGGTATACGCTGCAAATCCAAACCACTTCTTTGATTGACTCAGCTTCTCCACAGTTAATTTAATTAATATGTGCCATCAAGTCAGTTCCAATTTATGGCAACCTTCCCAGGGCTGTCTAGTTATAAAGGATGTAGATGTGGTTTACCAGTCCCTCTTTCTGGTAACAGAGCATCTTGGCCAAGGTGGCACATGTGGCAGCCGCACACCCTGTAACCCCATCAGCCCCACTTGTTCTGGATGATCTCAGTTGGCTCATCTCCCCAGAGGTTACAGCACCTGGACCCTGGCTTCACGGGGGCTCCCACTCACTGAGCTACTTTCTCTCTCTCTCTCTCTCTCTCTCAACTTGAGTCATCTACCTTTCTGGAGCATGATGAGGCATCAGTGTGTGAGATTCCTGTGCCCTTTAGCCATGGTTTCTCAGAGGGCTTGAAGGCAAGAGAAGACAGCACCCTAAACATTTAAGGCAGAATGTGAAGAGGTATCTCTTGAGCTGATACCAGATACTACCCACATCGCTTTAAGGCCGGGATGGGGAACCTGTGGGCTACATGCAGCACCAACCAACCAATCCTTTCTCCCACAAATCATTCCACTGAGGTTTATTGGTGAGCCTGGAAGACTGCTATAGATCAAGCATAGTATATTTGTTTTAAAGAGAGCTTTGTAATTTGCCCTCAAATTTTGGCAGTAGTGGAGGATCCATGGAGGAAGTGTGCCCCCTTCCAGATCAGCTGAAATTGCCCACACTGCTTTTTAAGCTTTTTTTGCAGCTGGTCATATAAGCTAGAAACAGCTGTTCTTGTCTGTGCATTAGAATCTCAGTTCTGGTGTGCAGAGGACTGGATTTTGCTGTTGTACAGCCGACACACCTCAAGAAGCTAGAGGAGCAGAGCCAGGAATGCTTTTTTTCCTCATGTGTTCTGTTCTTACTCAATAGCACCACCAGGTGGTAGGATGTCCTTTATAAAAGTTTGAGCTTTTATATATATTTTAAATAATTTCAAGTAGTAATATTTCTGACTAAAAGCTTAGGGGAAAAATAGTTCCTCATCGTATAAGTATTGGCATTAAACAGCATGCAGAAAAAATGGTCTTTCACTCTGTAGGGAAGAGGTGTGAAAACCGCATATGCAGTTGTTATGTACGTTTTAATAAATGCCTCGATTGCACACAGGTTCTGCAGCATGTGCTCTGCAGATGATGGTGTGCAGGCTCAGAAAAGCCTCTATCAATGGCAACGTCCCTAGCAGATGGCCCCCCTTTGCCAAAAAAGGAGAGAGAGTTTCTGTGGTGTGCTTTGTTCAATGTGGCTGTCACATGTGTGGTTTCAAAAGAAAAAAATTCCCACATAGAAGTGACTTCGTTATAGGGAACCTATTAGGCTGCTGTGCACCTGAGGTGTGAAATAACTCCAGCCTGAAAAAGGAGGGATGGATTAGACAGCCTGTTTTCAGTCCATGACCATTTTTGCATGTGTCCATTTGTAAGTCTTTTCTAATTTATTTCTGGATCAGTCTTCCAACTGATTTTTTAAAAATCTCATTTTTAAAAAAGTAGTTTCCCTTGAATATTTTAAATATGCCTTTTGACTGAAAAAACACATCTGTACATGCATTTTGATATATGTTGGGGCCAGGAATGCTATTATTAAATTTAGAGAAGTTATGTTCCAATCTACCTAATAATCCAGGAAGTTTAAGCCTGATTGGTTTTCTTAAAAACGTGGGTTAAATAAACTTGTAGGCAAATTCATTTGTGAGCCTTAAATATATAAAAAAGATGAAAAATACAGCCACCCACTCAACAAAACTCAAGGCCTCCCGACAGCATGCGTGTTCTGCTTTGCTTGATTATGTCTGCTAAAAAATGTTCAGCTCTTACGCTTGTGAAAATAAACTTGACACATAGTAGTAGCCATTTTCGGTTTCAGAGGTATAACTTTCACAGCAAGGGGATAGAAAAGAAAAAAGAGCTGCAGCTGTTCAGTGTCTGCCTTTTGTGCATCTGCTTAAAAGTTCATTCCTCTTTCTGGTGTGGCATTGCGATGTTTTTAGTAATGACCTATATAGGGTTGTAAAAATAACGGGGCTGTGTGTGTACACATTTCTTGGGATATTTTGTAGCATGCATTTTCTGTCTCAAAAGAGATTTTTAAAACCCAACTCTTGGCCTTGCAGTGAATACAAAACAATAAATCCTCTTTGAAAGTGATTTGGGCGATGCATTGGTTGACCATGCAGATTTTTTAGAATTGCAGCTTCCATCAGTCATCGTGAAGAATGCTAAGGACCAAAGTCTAGCAAGATCTGGAAGACTGTTTTTGCCAACCTCTGCTCTGTTTGGTAAAAATTGTAGTGGCCTATTTGGAAGTGTGTGTGTGTGTGTGTGTGTGTGTCTGTACAAATGAACACACACATAGACATGCCCTTATTTGGTACAGCATTTGTATTTATCTAAATATGGAGTATTTCTTCCTGGGATGTTTTCTATCAACTGATCCTTCTGTTTTTCTAACTATTTCCCTTCCTTCCTAGATCGGCAAGACCTGGAGCAGCCGGATCGAGTTGATAAATTGCAGGAACCACTACTGGAAGCTTTGAAAATCTATGTGAGGAAGAGAAGGCCTAGCAAACCCCATATGTTCCCCAAAATGCTGATGAAGATCACAGATCTGCGAAGCATCAGTGCAAAAGGTAATGGCTGGAATCCAGGTTTGACACGGAGCATCTCTTTTCTTTCCTTTAAGCTGGCTTGTACATAGCAAGGCACAAAGGCCCTGGAGAGGAAACTCAGAGACAAAGGGCTAAATCTTGGACATTACTGTTTTGTAGTGTATATACAGAGACCCAAGATGTGCCTCTAGTAGTACGAGAAACAGACATTTGAAAATACAGCATTGCTTAGATTCACTTGTCAAATATGATTTACAGCCTTCCAAAGCTCAGAAGTACTAACAAGTTAACAACACAGTTAATCATGATGAGTACATTCTTGTGTAATGGAAGTGTAACAAAGGCAAATTTCAAAGTAACATAACAAGCAGGAATATTGGTATAACAAGTACTATCTCTACTTACTTTTGAAAGTTACTTTTACTTTTAAAGAACACTTTTTACAATAAATGGACATGATTTTAAAACTTTAAGCCATTCTGTTACCAACTTTCACTTTTTTTAAAAAAAAAAGAATGTAAAGTAGCAAGAAAAAACATAATTAGACATGGGATGTTATGAATATCGACACCACAGATGCCTGAGACGTGCAGTCCTCTCCTCCAAAACTTGGATGTGGAACTGTGGAAAAATATGCAATAGCACTGATTCACCCTCTGAGAAATCTTCATTGGGCATTGCTATGCCTCCAATATTGAGTGGGGAAGTGAGTGCTTACCTTGAGGCTTAGCCAGTGGGTGCTTATTTTCTAATTCGTGATCTCTAAATGGTTGGTTTTTCCTTCCACAGGTGCTGAAAGAGTGATCACACTGAAAATGGAGATCCCTGGATCTATGCCACCACTCATCCAGGAGATGCTGGAGAACTCCGAAGGCATGGACACATTGGGGGCCTCCACAGGAGCCTCTTCCCGCATAGGCAGCCTAGCCCCACCCCCAGGCAGCTGTAGCCCCAGCCTTTCTCCCAGTTCCAACAGAAGTAGTCCTGCCACACATTCGCCGTGACCATGCCGGCCACCAGGACAAGCTGCTTGAACCCCTCTGCTCCTGCACACTCTCTGTTGACTCGCAATGCCTGGACAAATATCTGAGGAGCAGGAGTGGGTGTGTGAGGAGGGGAAGCAGTGGGACAGCATGCTGCTGCAAGCAATCTCCTCCTACCCTCCCCCTACGTCATGTGGGTCAAGGTTGGGCTCACGGGGGCAGGTTCAATGTACTGTTCCATACCAGCACACTATCTTTTTGTTCAACCGTTCCAGCAAAACAGGGTTCTGCTTGCCATGAAGACCCATTTTCTCCCGTGGGAGGTACGGAACCCTATGCAGGAAGTTCTGAACTCTCTCCAGACAGATCGACAAGCTGATCTGAAAGACTGATGCTCACAATTAGGAGCAAGACTTTCTAGCCAATTACAGAAAAATTCACCTCCTATGTGGCACGCACCCTCCCACTCTTCCCATCATCCTGTTGTGCACACATACACACCTCCACAAAGGAGTTGCCTGCTTCTTGTTGCAGTGAAAATGAAGTGGTGTTTTTCCTCCCCCCCCCGCCCCCCAGATTGAGTTTGCATTTCAAATGTTTCAGGGGAAAGGGTGTATTGTTTTCTGTTGTTTTTTTAATTGCTCAAAAACCTTCTTTGTCCTCAACCTTGACCACAGAAAGATACCTTTCCTCCCCCTATATCTCCTGCACTCCTTGTTCCTCTCTCACACACCTAAAAATGTCACCAGCAAATAATAATAAAAAAGTAACATTAGTTCTTCAGGTTTTTTTTAAAAAAAAGTATACATAGAACAAGGAGGGAAGGATTCATTTAAGAAAGAAGAAATATTATATATATAAATATCTATAAATATATATAAATACATTTTAAAAGAAAAGTTTGTAAAGGTTTGGAATTTGGAGGGTTTCTAGAAGGAGAAAAGCAGAAAAAAAGAAAAACAAAATTAATGTACGGGGTTGATCACAATTATCTTTTTAAATGTAAAACCGATCATCTAGTCAAAGTTAAGTGCTTTTTAAGTTCAGTAGATGTGTTTATCCAAAACACTAAGCCAGAACTGCTGAGAATTCTCACTACTAATTCTACTACTACTAATTCTGTTAGTAGGGAGCAGCAGTGCCCAACTATTCCCATGCTACAAGGTTGGGCAGCTTCAGCAGGTCTGGAGAACAGTTTTGAGACTTAACACCTATGTCCCAATGTGGCACACAACTTGTGTGAAAACAGAATGGTGGGTTTTACCCTTCAAAACACCAGTAGTGATTGAACCTGGGGAGGTCTGGGGGTTGCAGAAAGAAAGGAGGGCCACACAAATTCAGTGTGCTAGAGTAGCCTCATAGCCAAAGTAATTAGAAACTTGACAAGTACAGGAAAGTCTTAACATTATGTCCAAATTCAGGCTGCCTGCTTGTTCAGTGGCTGTTCGAAGAACATCAAGCTAGAGTCTGTACATAATGTTGTGCTTTTCCATCCTGATAAGCTTTTGGTTATTCAAACTGTGTCCATGTGCAGAAGACGTCAAGTGGAGGTGATCAAACATGTAAGAGCACAGTGGTTATTGAGTGACTTAAATCAGAATTCTTAACCTTCTGGCTTAGCTGCTGTGGGCAGTATGACTTAAGGGCACTTAATTTTGGCTGGCTTTGTGTCCTTTGGTTATTGGCTGCGCCTATGGACAGCAGATCTCGTTGGATCAGTCTCAGACGGATAGCTGGAATTTGGTGAATTCCAAGATTGTTGAGAAAGGACAGATAACAATTTGGGATATAAGGTGATTAGAAGTGTTATTTTTGAGGCAGAAGGTTTCCAGTGTTCTCAAGTGTGTGTGTATTTGTCAAAGCAACCTCATGTTGTTTCATGTTTTCACTATCAGCACACACACACACCCGGCAAAACTTAAATCTCATTTTTAATATTTTAGTAGAAGAGCAGCTGCTTCCTTTTGTGGTCTGCAGAATTTTGTAAAGGGAACTTTAGTTCCTTGGCCCCTTTTTCACTTAGGCAGCTGTTTTCTGGATGTAATCAGCTGTCCTCCTTTTGTGAAGAGGAAGAAAGAGGGCCAGGATTTAAAGAACTAATGTTAGGGACTTCCACTATCCTCATGGAATTTTTGACTTTTTAAGAATTCACCCTGACAGGAAAGCCAGGTTACTAATTCCTTGTCAAGGTCACATAGACAGAGGATGGGGGGGTGAGTCCCACTTTTCAAGAAGAACAAGAAGTGAACTGGTGTATAGTGGTTTAGGTTTCTGACTGCGGAGGGAATTTGATTCCTCACTGTGTCTCCTTGATGGGGGCTGGCCTCAATGATCCATAGAGGCCCTTCCAGTTCTGCAGTTTTGAGATTATGGTGATGAAAATATCTTGGTTCAAATTCCAGTGTGTTCTCCCTGTCCTGGAATTTTCTTCCCATATTTGTTTCGCATCAGGTTGCAAGAATTAGCGTGTGTTTTTGTCACACGGAAATTTGCCCACATTTGCCTCCATTTCCCCCTTAAGATGCACATTCATGGGTGCTGTTTACTGAATTGACAAATCTGTCCCATTGACTACAGTTACATTTATGTTCATTTTTCAGTTATGTGCATTTTTGCGCACCGAAATGTCCTGTGAGCATGGCTACTTTGTGAATTCTCAGGGCAAAGTGCTTTTCTTCTCATAACTAGTTACGAGATTGTGAAAAGCCCACTTTCATTGAGACTGTTTAATCCAACGAAATTTGTTTCTGTCCCTAGCTGCAATCCAATACCTGATGAACACAACAGAACTTATCTTTGAATAGTCATGCATAGGATTACACCATTAGGCTGCATTCCTTATAACCATTTACCTGAGCATAAGCCCCATTGACTCACTTCTGAGTAGACATACTGTATATAGGATTTTTCTCTAGGAGCAAAGTCCTCTACAAGCCTACCCCAAAGTAAGTCAGAGGGGCTTTCTCTCAGCTAAGAGGGCATTGAATCTCAACCCTCCGCCCTGTTGGGCTCATGGAGCTAACTATTTCAAGAGTCTTTGGATCTTGGCCCACAAGTTTCAAAACAACAGCAAGGAACATTCCTGATTTATTTTCTACCACACGAAAAAAAATGTGACTAGCTCTAAGAGTAGATGTACTGGGATGCAGGGTGAAGGAATATCCAGGTGCGGGGGATCCACATACAATTTATTACTGATTTTACTTTTCTGTTGAGATTTTAGTGTCTTAGAATCTACGACATTAAATTTGAATAAAATTGTGGGGGAGGAGGGGGAAGCAAGGGCAATTGTGGGTTCCCTTTCTTTTTTTCTTTTTTTTGGAAGCTCCTCCCTCAGTTTGAAGGGCATGTGCTCCACACCTCTCAGATATGTATATAAAGCTGTTGTTATTTCATATAAAAAGATATTGGTGAGTTTAAATCCTCCCATAGTTGCTGCTTTTCATCAGTACCATGTTTGTTCTGGGTGTTTTCTGCTTCTTTTTTTAATTCAAACAAACAGCCTTTACTATAAATGAGTGCAGTTTACACACATCTGTCCTGTGGACGGTGATTTGCACTTTAAAGGAGATTAGGCAAATTCATTTAAGAATAGGTTTGCTCATGTAAACGGCAAGAAAAGATGCTGCTGTTATGGCTTGTGTGAAACTCCAGAATTCTAAAGGTAGCTACTGTGGAAAGAAAACATGAGATTATAAGAGTCTTGGTGTAAGCCAGTACTTATGTGCAGCTATTAAAGCTTCAGAATATTAGCATCGGCACAAATACACTTACTTTAACAGTAGATTGACATTAATTCATTAGTACTAACTACTTCATTGAAACATCTTAAAATCAATCTGTTACATTGATCATTAGTAACATTACTTTTGAAATGTCCCTCTCCAGCTACCCAAAGAAACTAATTGAAGTAACAACATGAAAGGTTGATCCCTACATTAACAACATCGTCATGTAGTGTCTAAAATAAGAACTTCTGAAAATTACAGGAAATTAATATCAACTTTGGAAGATTGTCTCCCAATCCACTCTCTAAACGCTGGGAGGAGTGAGAAAGCAGACAGGCACCCTTTTCACTGGCCAACAGTTAACTGAAAGTTCAAATTTTGCACTTTCCCTGCCTCCCACGTGGGTTTTTTTCAGTTCTTAACTCAAATCTAAGTACTTAAGTCAAGTCAATATTTTCCTATGAGAGCGGTTCTTAAGTCAAAATGTTCTTAATTCGAGCCGTTCTTAAGTCAAGACCCCACTGTAAGAGTCTCGGTGTAAGCCAGTATTTATGTGCAGCTATTAAAGCTTCAAAATATTAGCATCGGCACAAATACACTTACTTTAACAGTAGATTGACATTAATTCATTAGTACTAACTACTTCATTGAAACATGATAAAATCAATCTGTTGCATTGATCATTAGTAACATATTACTTTTGAAATGTCCTTCTCCACCTGCCCAAAGAAACTAATTAAAGTAACAACATGAAAGGTTGATCCCTACATTAACAACGTCATCATGTAGTGTCTAAAATAAGAACTTCTGAAAATTACAGGAAATTAATATCAACTTTGTTTACAGGAATTAATGCCAACTGCATTGTGGAACATACAGGTCTGACAAAGGAAAACACCTTTCCAAATCTGAAAATGTTTAATTCTGCTCAGCATAGGCAGTACCATATCTGAAATCCTGTGTTGAGTTCTGGACATTACTATTCATGATGGATGCAGCACATTGTAAACATCAAAAGACATGAAGTAGGCCAAAGAAAGAAGAGTTATTTATTGGTGAACAAGATGAGCTTAGTGTAAGGAGGTGCAGACTTCAGAGTTTCAAGAAATTAGCCCATTTGCACTGGGGGAAAAAAAGACCCAAATCCATTTCCTAGGTAGGGAACTAGGTGGGGGCAGTTAGGGAACATTTCTTTGGCACATCCAGAGGGCACCATGTTGGGCAACATGCTATTCTATATGACACCATAGTTCAATTTTAAATAATTTGTAGTCTCCGACCCTGTTAGAAGTGATGCATATTAGCGCAAAAAAGAACCACCCCAAAACCCAACAACTCCAAGCCATTATCACAATACACACACACATCAATAGAATCTAAATTGCTCTCACTGTTGTAGGAAATGGTATTGTGTGAAAAGTTCATACCCAGTAGCTGTCTGATATTATACTTTTAGCAAGAAAGAAGGCAACTTCAACAGTAGGAATGATTAGGAACAGGAACAATGGGGAAAGTTTTCATTTAGGCAAAAAGGTTTTACAAAATTCTAAAACATCAGTAAGGAGTAAAGAGAGATTATTCTCTGCAAACACATCCCTTGGTGCAATTCCATGAAACTGATTGACAGGACAAACCCAAAGCTGATATACTATATAATTCTGTGGAATATAGTACTATAATTAACCTGTGGAACTGATCTATATAAAACCTAATTATCAAGGAAGTAACCATGTTAGTCTATCCCAACATATTGACAAAACGAGTGGGGAGGAGTGAGCAAGAGAGAAGAGCAAAACATTTTGGGATGTTAATATAATGTGAGTTTTTGTGAATCAAAATCCCCTTCTTTGTATGTCACTTCTTCAGATACACACAGAAATAGATTTGGATCCATGAAAGCTCACACTGAAACATTAGTGTTTAAAGTGGCACAGTATTTTGCCTCTTCCTCGTTTGTCCTTTTCTTCCTCCCCTTCAATTTTGCCAGCAGAAATTACAACAATGTAATTTTGATGGCTTTCTGAAAAGCTGAGATCCCGGAGCACAG